ATGTCTGATGAATACCCACAACTCATAATTCTTGTCATAAATTCATTGAAGAAACAAGTAGGAGTCTCAACTATTGCAACCTAAATGAGAGAATAATAAAAGAATAAAAAACTCAAAATGTAACATTCTGAATAATTAACACTAGAATATATGAAGACCAAGATGTTGTGGCCTCTGTTATGGTCGCAGTCTCCATTCGATTTATATAAGTGGGTTGACCTCGTCACAACTTGGTCTTGTTGTCAGGGCGAATTAGTAGAACGCACCTATTCCGAAGTCGTCTGTCATATCAGTTGTCATAATTCCCAGCATCTGACAGTAGACTTGATAAATTCTCAAACGTTTCGCCGGCATCGTAGTCGACATCATCAGTGAGTTTTGCCATTCTCCGCACCAAGCTACGAACTCGTCAAAGAGACAACTGAAGTCAATTCCTCGACAAGTGTTCTGCCAAAAACTAGTACATTATCACTCCTCTGTCTGTCCTGGCCTATCTATTTCTTTTTTACCCTCTTATTCAACTCCCGTCCTATCACAACTTCTCACTTGTGTACATTTCATTCATAAAAATGTGTGCCTTTTTATGGCAAATCTAGTGTGGCCTCATCACACTAGGTTCTCGTCCAAGAATTTTACATCCTTTAAGCGTAGGCTTCGGATGATCTTGCTCCTCCGCAAGCGTGATGAGGCCACACTAGATTTGCCACGAAAAGGCACATATTTTGCCGAGTGGAATATACACAAGTGAGAAGTTGTGATAGGGCGGGAGTTGGATAAGAGAGTAAAAAGGAAATAGATGGACCAGGACAGACAGAGGAGTGATAGTGTAACACTTTTCTGCAGAACGTTCGTCGAAGGACTGACTTCACTCGTCTCTTTGACGAGTTCGTAGCTTGGTACGGAGAATGGCAAAACTCACTGATGATGCTAACTACGATGCCAGCGAAACGTTTGAGAATGTACCAAGTCCATTGTCTGATGCTGGGAAGCATCCCAACTGCTATGGCAGACGACTTCGGACTAGATGCGTTCTACTAAGTCCTCCTGACAACAAGACCAAGTTGCGACAGCGAGGTCAACCTACTTCTAGAATGATTAAGTCTATATCCTAATTGGTCATAAGTTGAAGGAAGTTCGGTCTGATTGCTGGGAAAACGCAATTTGTCATATTATCTAATGA